ATAGACGTGAGTGGGAGAGAGGGTATAATAGATGTGCGTGGGAGAGAGGGTATAACTTTCTTTTCTTATTCACTTTCTTTCTTGTTATCCAACATTAAACGATCTCACACATATATATAGGAGGTGAGAGTCGGTTAGAATAATATTAAAATATTAAAATATCTGTTTCTAGAAGATGGATAATTAATTTAGTATATTCAACACATTTACATTATAACGATCTTTTTTAGCTGAAATTTTAAAATATAAACATCGTAATAAATTTTAGTCTATTTAAAGTTCGGGTTGATAAATAATGACATCGTTTGGCCTTTTTAAATTTAATTTTTATTCAATTTGAATTTAAATTAGTATTTCATTTCAAGTTACATGCATGATAAGGCTCAAATTGAATCCTAAAACTACTCTTTCAAATAAGAGATCAATTGCAGTATTTTAGGGTCGAATTCCACAAAGTTCTTTTGTTCACACAATAAGCTAACAGTTTCAAAATTATGCTAAATAAAATAATAAGAATTAAAATAAATGCAAGCAAATAAATTAAGTAACAGATCAATAGATTAAAGCGTCAGATTTAGGGAAATTCTCCGGAAATAAACTAATAGTAAATTTAGCAAATTAATTAGGATTATTATCGAACCGTTCTAGAACTCAAAACACTAATGTATAGCCAACCACCTCTCGAATGTATTGACTAACTAATCTAATATCAGGTAGTTCCTCCTCTCGAATGTAAACTCCTAGATTTAGACTAGCATTAAAAACAGGTTTGATATGTTCACAGATATTTCTAAACCAACTCGCGAATGAATCTAGTAATTTCTGCCCACCTAACATAGTTCTAGTAACAGGCTCCCTCTCAGATCAAAACCTATTATCCTATGATCAAGTTCTAGTTAGCTACTCTAGAACTAGCATTAAGAACAATCTAAGGCGATCTACTAATTCATCTAAATCCCTAATGAGAATTCCTAAACCTAACAGGAAGATTACTCAGACATGATTAATGAAACATAAAACATGTTTGAATAGATTGCAAATAATAAATCAAAAGAAGAAAAGAGTTTAAAATAAATTTTCTCTCTACAGGGTTTTGAAATCTCTGAAAAGTTGTTCTCTCCAATTATCTTCCAAAGGGTTCAAGCTCGGAGAATTTCATTAAAGCCAAAAGCAAAAAGCAAGATGCAAGATAATAAAATAGAAAAACCCTAAAAACTATTTATAATATCTCTAAAAACGTGCAGTGACTAAAGTTGCAAATAGAAGTCTTCTGGGTTTGATTCTTCGGGCTTTAAAACTATCAAACCGTCGAGGCTCTTGCTGGACCGCGTGTGGTGTTGATCAACACTAGGGGGGTGTCGGTCAACACTCATGCCTTGGTCTGATACCGAATTCGTTGCTTCAGCTCTTAATCTCCGGTTTAGCTCCAGAATGGTTCCTTATCTCCAAATTTGTCCCGAACGTGTAAAAACCTAAAAATACTCAAAAATAGGAACAACAAAAAGACTCTAAAACTGACACATATATCATGGCTAAAAACGATAAAATCCACGATATATCAACTTCCTCAGACTTAGCTTTTGCTTGCCCTCAAGCAAAACACAAAAACCGAACCCGTGCAAAAAGTTTGAAAACAAAGAAACTCTCAATTTATCTAGCCTATTACTTTGATTATTCAAACCAAATCCAAATGCCTAGCAGTTCGCATCAAATCCTAACCACCATGTAATTCTCCGCAAGCATTCTCAACATTCCAAATTCCAAACCAAATTCCATAACTATATCCTATAGCCCTCATCGCATAAATCTCATCAATAAAATCAGTACTCAACAACCTTCTAGACTCAATCCTGTACTATAACATGATAAATCAACCATTTCAACCTACTTAGGAAATGTTCCTAACCTTGCTTCCAACCTTCGTGTGATCATTCCTCTTGAAGTAAAATAATGAGATCACGGAAAATTTTCCTATCTCTTTACTCCAAAATAAAATCATCTCATTTTTTTTTCTCTGAATACCATCTTTTTCACATAGGTCTCATTTATCAGGTATGAACGAGGAGTCAAGTTCTGAGAATACTAACCGTATATACGAGGTGAAGATCATGAACTTTGCTCGGATTGTGTTGGAAACGTGGATGTCCTCTGGTCTATTGATTAACTCTCTGGATTTTCCATTAGTCGGATTGAATTGAATCTGCAGCATCAAACTAACCAGGCAATAATCTAGAGAAAAAGATCATAATTTCCAACAAAATTTTAACTCAATAAAATGACTCAAAAAAAAAAAAGAATAAGAATCAAAAACAAAAAAAAAAACATAATTAGTAACTTTCTTCCCCAGACTTAAATGACACTATCCCCAGTGGCATCCAAACCCAGAGTTAGGAAAAAATTATAAAAAGAAAAACATAAATAAAATAAAAGAAAATGGAAAAATATATCAGTGGGTTGCCTCCCACGAAGCGCTTATTTTTAGTCATTAGCTTGACTATGTCGGGGTTCAGGAGCAAGGTGGAGCATGAGAAGTGTTGGGAGATGTGGAAGTCAAAACTAACACAATCGAGATTTGTCTAGGGTTTTAATTTAGGGATACGATTTGCGAGAATTCTCAAAGAGCGACAGAATCAATTGATACCAAAGATGGTGTTCTTGATATTATTAAGGAAAAGATGACTTTGATCGTACAAGAGTTTGATCGTAAAGAAAAAGATGTTAGTGCTGTGAGAGCTTTGTGTAGTGTAAATTCTAGAGAGATATCGCCCCCTTCTCCGCTTGAGCCTTGAGTTCTTTATATAGGGGTGATAAACCGCCTCTCCCGCGATATTCTCGGAAGATTTCCATTTATCTTGAAGTCGGCTTAGAATATCGCAGGAATAAGGATAATTTCCTTATTCTTCGGAGTTTCTTGGAAGATATCCTGATTTGAGTCGATCCTTTGAGATTCTTCCTTATCATTTCCGGGTTTATCGGAAATGATCCTTCTCTTTCGGAAATGACGACCTACTTGGAAATGGTACTTTGAAGACGAATATTTTACCAAGTCTTTGCCTCGGGTGACTTGTGCAATCGGCTCGGGGACAAGAGAGGCAGGGCCCAAGCTCCTGAGGGAAACCGGCTCGGGTCCACGGAAGGAGCCAGCTCGGGGGTCTTGACACGAACCGGCTCGGATTCCCGGAGTGAACCGGCTCGGGCACTTGAAGGGAGCCGGCTCGGGTTCACAAGCTTGCTGACAGACCCCGAGCAGACTACGGGCGTTCCCCGAGGCAACCAATGCAGTGACCCGAGGTGAATGGCAGTTTGCACCGAGGTGAATGGCAGTTTGCACCGAGGTGAATGGCAGTTTGCACCGAGGTGAATGGCTCGCTTCGCCGCCGAGGTGTCTTCAGAAGTTCCCTGAGGCGTTCGAAGTTCGGCTCGGTGCTATGGGATGAAATCCGACCCCAACAGTTAGCCCCCCAGCTCGTTGGTTCGAAGAGCGACCGATGAGCTTCACGACTGTTAGTCCGAGCCGTTTTAAACTTTGTTCCGAGCCCATCCTTGTATGCCGCGAAACTTTCAATGTTTCAAAGATGGTTAGTGTCCTTCGGTGATTCTGATTCTTGACGATTCAAATCTCTTTGACGCTTCATCTTCTTCTAGCGCGCGTGACGGTTGAGATTCTACCTCGAGAAGTGGAAGAGTCCTCTGCTGATTCCCGAGACCCGTGCGGATGCAAAGTATCTTAATGTTGGTCATGCGCACCCGACGCGCCCGAGACTTGGGCGGATGCGAAATATTATTAAACTCGTGTGTACCCGACGCGCCGAAGCGTTCTATAAATATCCGACTCCTGCTTCATTTTCTCATTTCGCAATCTACAAGGAAAATTTCTAAGGTTCGCTTCTTTTCTCTCTGATCTTGATCTCTTTAATTTCCTCTGCTTTGCTTTATTTTCCGTCGTTCCTCCGCCGTGCCAGATCTTAGATTTGGTTTTTACGATTTCAAATCTTGTTTTTCCGATTCTTTTTGATTCACCCGAGCCGAAGATGTCACTCTCTGATTCAAGTGATTCTTCCCGAGGCAGAAACATTCCTGTTCATGAAAGGAAGATGGTTTGGAGCAGTCCCTCGGAAGGAACCGAGGCTAGTTTTTCAGATTGCTCCAAGCGGAACGGCGATAGTGAAGCAAAATCGTCATCCGTGGACCAAGATCCGAGCCAATTTGTGGCTCGGGATGAGGATCTTCCTGATGACCCCGAGGCAGCTTTAAATACGGGGAGAACGCGTCCTCCGTCTAAGGACGAAGCTGGGGGTTCTCGTTGGCAAAAAGCGACCGAGCCGTCTTTGCTCCCTGTAAAGGCCGAGGCGGTTCACTATGATTCCGAAGCGGAGGTGAGAGTGCTTCAGGCCAAGATGCAAGCGGCTAAGGCTCTACAGCAGAAGACGAAGCGAGCCAGAAAAGTAAAAAGGCCCGACCCTCCTGGTTCTACGCTATCCACCGAGGACTCCCTCAGAGAATTGAGAGTTCGGTTCGGTTTCAGTGAAGGAGTCACGATGAGGCTTCCGACCCCAAGTGAACGAGCCGATAATCCTCCTGAGGGGTTCTTCACATTGTACGAGGGGTTTTTCAGTTTTTGTTTCATGTGGTTCCCTCTCCCGAGGCTGATCGTTGAGTATTTGTGGTCGTATAAGATTGCGTTGGCTCAGATCTCAACTCGTGGACTGCGGCATCTTATTGGGATCTTAGTAAGGAGTTTCGAAGCGGATAAAATTTTGTCCCTCGGGCATTTAAGGAATTTCCTGGAGGTTCGTCGTAGCCCGGGTCCTCTGGAAAGATACTACATCTCGCCGAGCAAAAATAAAAAGATCATTGGCGGGTTCCCGAGCAAGGATGAGAAGTACACTGATCATTTCTTCTTCGTCGCGATTGACGAGGACTCCGTCCCCGAGGGATGCCTTGATAAAATTGTTGCGAAATGGGGCAAAATCGGTAGTTTACCCAAAGCGTTTGAGTTTTCTTTCTGTCGTGATTTGATCGATTTATTCTAACCAGTTTTGTTTTCATTTTCAGATCGTAACCCGACGTTCCTCGAGCTTATCCCCGAAGATCTTTTAGAAACTCACGAGGAGTTGGCTTCCCGGAAGTGTAACTGGACCAAGCATTTTACGCTCAAAAGAGTCGAGAAAGCGCTGAGATTACTCCGAGGCGTGTCCTGTTCATCATCATCATCCTCTTCGGATCACCGATTAAGCGGCTACATGGAGATGCAGAAGGCGAAGATGACGCTAAGGGAGAAAAAGGCTGCTGAGAAGGAAGCGGCCGAGCAGAAAAGAGCTCTCGAGGCGGTTTTCAAACCTTTGACCGAGGGGTCTAGAAGGCCCGAGGCGTCCGATCTACCCGAGGCGTCTGGCAGACCCGAAGTGGTTAAGGGCCCCGAAGGATCCGGGGTTGATCTAGCTGTTACTTCGGTTCTTCCCGAAGCGGTCGACGATGTCCCAGCTGGGGACAGTGGAGTTCAAGCTCCCGAGGTCGAACACACCGAAGTTGTGGTCGGCTTGGCTGCTGGTAGACAGGCCAAGTCTAAGGGAAAACGTCCTCGGGGCGACCACTCTACCGATAAGAGGAAGAAGTCGAAGAGCGATCACAGCAGCTCTCGACCGATTTACAAGGACAAGGTGGCTTCGGCCAACCTTGTTGCTTCGTGTGCATGGCCGTTGTTGACGGCCCCTGAGAATCTGGCCGAGGCGGAAAGATACGCCGAGACTTCGGCCAACTTTCTGAAGGTAATAATTTTTTTTTTGAACCTCTTGTTTCGAAGTTCTTTTCCGTTCCTAACATGTCGTTTTATCCCCAGGCTTTCTCCTCAATGAACACGCTGGTTCGTTCTTACGAATCCGCGAACCGCCAGCGCGAAGCTGCCAGCGAGCAGTTTGAGATGGCCCGAGCGGAATCGGAGAGGAGAGTAACCAAGGCGACCGCAGCAAGGGAGAGGGCCGAGGCCTTGGTTGCGGCTGAGCAAGAAGCGAGGCAGAAGGATGCCGAGGAGAATGCTCGAATTCGGCAGAAAGCCGAAGCGGAGATTGAGCGCCTCAACCGCCTATTTGCCGAGGAGAAGTCCCTTCGGGAGGCCGAGGTTGCTCGAGCCAGGAAGGCTGCCAAAAGGGAGGTTACCGAAGAGTTCGCCAAGCAGATCAAAACGATCGAGGCAAAGCTGGAACAGTTCGACCAGGTCGCTGATCGATACATGTACTTCTCCCAAGCTAAGGCTAACGCCGAGCTGATTGCCGAGCTCGAGGAGGGCAAGTCGATCGAAGACGAGAAGAAAGAGGTAGAGGCATGGAAAGAAGAGTTCGGGGACGCCGAAGCGGAGTATTCTCAGCTCGCGGTCGAGCTGCTCGAAACTTTGAAGATTCCTCCGGTGTCGCCCGACTCTGCTCATGATAGCCTTGGGAATAGGTCGGTGGAGGGCGAGGCGATCGAAGTTGGAGTTATCGATCAAGCAGGGACGAACCTGGGCTCCGAGGCTGCGCTTGTTCCAGACGAGGAGCAGGATAAGTGATCCTGAGGCGCCCCTTCTTTTATGTTCTGGATTTGTTTTGATTCTTCTCCTTTTTGTAAGACTTGTGCCTGGACGGCTTTATCCCTTTTGAATGCATGTTTCTTTAAATACTTGAATTGTTTCGTTCATCTTGAGTTGCTTCCGAAGTAACTTCGGAAACATGACTTGTTCATCGAGGAGTTAGTCTTTTCCGAGTCGTTTTAACTTCCGAACCGAATTATACACCAATGTCAATGTAATTGGGTTTTGGTAAAAATGAGTTTCGGTTCAGTAGAAGTTATCTTTCGGAATAGCGAACCAGTGTTAAGATAACTGGGTTTTTGTAAGTGTGATGTGAAAAAGTTAATTCTCCCGAACCGTTTCCACTTCCGAACTGAAAGTGAAATGGATCGTTCACCAGTGTTAAGATAACTAGGTTTTGGTTATATGGGACTAATCTCTATCGGTTGCGACCCGAGCTGATATAGTCGAAGCCAGTGCTTAGAAGCGAACTGGGGTACCAGTGTCGAAGTCGACTGGGTTTTCCGAAGACAATCTCTTGGTGGTCAGATATCTCCGACCGAATTGTCTCGAATACTTATATAGCGCGCTGTAACCGAAGCGGTGAAATGAGCTCTCTGTTCGTGGACGTGGCCATCATCCGAATGAACTGTTGGCTTTGTGGGTCGATAAGAGGATAGTAAAAGTTCCCGAGATGAGTTTTGGGAAAAATGTCGAGGTGGATTTGAGTTGAAAACCCGAAGGGTAAACTTTAGAAAGAATGAAATTTTAGTGGGAGTATATGTATACAGACCCACTCCCCCCCCCCTTTTTTAATTAGGGGGGTAGCTGAACTCGTCCGAGGACGAGCTGCCTACGTACCCTTTTCAGGGATCAAGCCACCCCGTAGTTCAAGTACATGCGTACCTTAGGTTTTTAGCGGTAATATTTCCTTAGATGCATTGTGTTCCAGGATCTAGGTACCGCTTTGCCGTTCATGTTGATGAGTTCGTAGACGCTGGGACGGATTACCTTTGCGATCGTGTAAGGTCCCTCCCAATTCGTGCCGAGCTTACCTGCGTTCTGCTCGGCGGTATTCTGGAAAACTTTGCGCAGTACGAGCTCTCCTTCGTGGAAGCGGCGATGCTTCACGTGAGAATTGTAGTACCGAGCCGTTGCATTCTGATAGTTCTGCATACGGATCAAAGCCAAATCTCTTCTTTCGTCAATTAAGTCCAGCTCGTCCAGCATCATCTGAGTGTTGGAATTTTCCTGCTCGGGGAGAAAACGTCTTCTCAGTCCCGGAATCTCGGCTTCGGTGGGAATCACACACTCCGTGCCGTAGACAAGGGCGAAAGGTGTTTCTCCCGTGGCCCGCCGCGGCGTGGTTCTGTGCGACCATAGTACTCCTTCTAATTCATCGGCCCAGCGGCCTTTCTTCGCGTCGAGGCGCTTTTTTATTCCGTCGAGAATTGTCTTGTTTGCCGCTTCGGCTTGTCCGTTCCCTTGAGGATACCGAGGCGTAGACTTGCTGAGGCGAATTCCCCATTTCTCGCAGAATCCTTCGAACCGAGCCGAAATAAACTGCGATCCGTTGTCTGTAACGATCTCGTAAGGTATCCCGTGGCGGCATATGATGTTCTTCCAGACGAAGTTCTCGACCTGCGCGTCTTTGATGCTGGCGTAAGAGTCCGCCTCGATCCATTTGGAGAAGTAGTCTGTCAGTACGAGGACGAGTTTCTTCTGCTTGGAGTCGTGTAGAGGTCCGATGATGTCCATGGACCATCGCATGAATGGATAAGGCGAACTGATGGAAGAGAGGAGCTCGGCGGGTTGATGAATGGTTTGTGCGTGTCTCTGGCATTTATCACACCGTTGAGAAAACTTCTCACAGTCTTTGACCATTGTCGGCCAAAAATATCCGTGGCGTTTGATCTTTATAGCCAGGGCTCTCCCGCCAGAATGGTTCCCACAAGATCCGTCGTGTACTTCTTCCATGACTCTCCGAGCCTCATTTCCTTCGACACAGATAAGGAGGGGACCGGAAAATCTCCATTTAAAGAGTTCTCCGTTGATCAGAGTATACCGAGCCGCTTTGGCTTTAAGCTTCCGAGCTGCCCATTTTTCAGTAGGAACTTTTCCATCGGCTATGTAGCTTCGGATGGCTCCGATCCATTTGGCGTCGCTTCCGTATTCGGGCTCAGTTGCGTCCGTAGTTTGCTGGTTTAGTAGTTCGATGTCCATTTCTTCCGGTTCTTCTGTCTCCCGAGCTGTTAGAACTTGATCCTTGCTAATTTCTTCAATGCTCGGCTTTTCGATGAACTCGACCGGTATGATTCTTTTCAGATTCGGGTCGGAGGTTGAAGCCAGAGCTGCTAAGGCATCGGCCGATGTGTTTTTACCTCGTGGGATTCTGGTTAATTCGAACTCGCCGAACTTTTTCACCAAGTCTTGCGTGAGAGCAAGATACGCTTCCATTCGTTCGTCGCGAGCCGCATATTCTCCATTAAATTGATTAGCCACGAGCTGGGAGTCGCAAAAGGCTCGCAGCTTGTTGATCTTAAGTCCCCGATCCAGCTTAAGTCCTGCTATCAGCGCTTCGTACTCAGCCACGTTGTTAGTCGCGTCGAAATTCAGCCGAAAGGATTGTTCAAGGATTTCACCCTCTGGTGATGATAGGCGGATTCCGACGCCAGAACCTTGTTTCGAGGATGAGCCGTCGACGTGGAGGATCCAAACAGCGTTGGGTGACTCTTCTCGGGCGTTCTCTATTGGCAGCTCGATGATAAAATTGGCCAGGACTTGAGATTTCGCACATGTTTTGTTCCTGTATTCGATGTCGTACTCGCTGAGTTCTACTGCCCATTTGGCCAGGCCTCCCGATTTGCTCGGACTGTGCAGGATGGTTCGGAGTGATACGGGCGCCATGACGACAATTGAGTGAGACTGGAAATATGGCCGTAGCTTCCGAGCTGACATTACTACGGCGAAGGCGAGCTTTTCAGTTTGCGGGTAGCGTGTCTCCGCGTCGGTGAAGGTTTGCGAGACATAAAATATCGGCTTCTGCTCTCCTCTGTCTTCCCTGACTATGACTCCACTTATCGCCGTATCAGAGACTGCGATGTACAGAAATAATGGCTCGCCTGGGACTGGTTTCGCCAACACCGGTGGATTAGCCAAATACTTCTTCAGTTCCTGGAAAGCTTCTTCGCAGCGATCGGTCCATTCGAATTTCTTGTTTCCGCGCAGAGTATCGTAGAAAGCCAGGCATTTGTCAGTGGACCGCGAGATGAATTGGTTCAAGGCTGCGACTCTCCCGGTGAGACGTTGGACTTCGCGCTTGTTCTGTGGTGAGGGCATGTTCAGTAGAGCATCGATTTGCTTCGGGTTTGCCTCGATGCCTCGGTGAGTTACGAGATATCCCAAGAATTCTCCCGACTTTACCGCGAAACGACATTTTGCCGGGTTGAGCTTCATGTTGTGCTTGTTGAGCTGGCGAAAACAGTCGCGTAGATGGGCTATGTGATCGCTCTCTTCAAGGGATTTGACTAACATGTCGTCGATAAAAACTTCCATCGTCTTCCCGAGCTGCTCGGAGACATCCTGTTGACGAGCCGTTGATACGTTGCGCCAGCGTTCTTGAGTCCGAAGGGCATGCCTGTGTAACAGTAGATACCTCGGTCTGTGATGAAAGCTGTCTTCTCGCGATCGTCGGGATGCATGAGAATCTGATTGTATCCTGCGAAAGCATCCATGAACGATAGCAACTTATTTCCCGCAATTGCTTCCACTAAGCGATCGATATGTGGGAGTGGAAAACTGTCTTTAGGGCAAGCTTTGTTCAAATCGGTGAAATCGACGCAGACTCTCCACTTGCCGTTCTTCTTTTTAACCACGACAGGATTTGCTAACCAGTCCGGGTATCTTGCTTCGGAGATCGAGCCGATCTTTAAGAGCTTTTCTACTTCGGCGTTCACGGCATCTGCGCGATCCCGACCCAATTTTCTTCGCTTCTGCTTGATGGGTTTGAAAGATGGGTCAACATTCAGCTCGTGGCAGATTACGTCGATGCTTACCCCAGGTAGATCTTCAGCCGACCAGGCGAAGGTGTTGATGTTCTCTTTGAGGAATGAGATGAGCTCGGTCTTGATTTCCTCGGTTAAATCGCTGCCAATTTCCACGCATCGTTCGGGCCGTTCGTCGTCGAGGCTAATGGAGATTACAGGATCCGAGGTAGGCTTCTTCTCCTCGCGCGCCTCCTCGATCTATAATTGCTATAATTGTTTAGATTTAGCCTTCTCTTCACTCCGACCAAGTTTTGATTTCTTGTGATCGGTTTCAGCCTTCGCTTCAGTGACAGGGTTTCAGAGTTTGTGTGCTGCCATGAAACACATCCGAGAATTTTTCTGACTGCCCCAGATTGTTTTCACGCCATTGGGGGTCGGGAATTTGACACACAGATGATATGTTGATGCGACAGCTTGCATTAGATTTAACCACGGAGTTCCCATTATGACGTTGTAGATGGTAGGTTGATCGGTGACTGAGAAGTTGACGATCTTTGTTACCCCGCCGGCTCGGACTGGTAGTTGGATGGTTCCAAGCGTCATCAAATTTTCCCTGAAAACCCGAGGACAGGCCTCGGGGTCGGAATCACCTGTGACATGTCGATGTTCATTTGTCAGAGCGTTTCGCGAAAGATTACGTCGATGGTGCTGCCGGTGTCGATTAATACTCGGTAAATATCGTGGTCTCCTATCGCTAACGTGACGACGATTGGATCGTTATGAAGCATGTCGAGCCCGTTTGTCTCGCTTTCTTCGAATGTGATCATGTCGTTAGGTCGATCAAATTGTCTTGTCCAGTTGCTAGGCGTCTCGGCTCGGCGTTGATAAGCTTTGATTGCCGCTACGGTGTCAGGACAGTATGGCGATCCACCCATTATGGTGAGAACCTTCTGCCGCGTACCATCTCGGTCTTCGTCTTCCGTCCCCTGGGTTCTTTTCTGAGACTCCTGGTTCCTTGGTTCGGGATCTCTTCCCGG